TCACAGCTTGTCTTCCCAGAGTAAGTGTGTGTGTGTGTGTGTGTGTGTGTGTGTGTGTGTGTGTGTGTGTGTGAGAGGGCTTACTATCAGGTGTGTATGTTTGGTGTTATTGCACTCTGAAAAACGTGACGCTTGTTTGTTGTGTTTGCACACAGCTTCCTGATGATCTCAATGCTCTGTGGGCTTACATGACCTTTTATGGAGGAGAATGCCAGCTTAACCTAAACAAGAAGGTCACTCATTTAGTATTGAAGGAACCTAAAGGGGTGAGTGTGCGCTCCATGGAGCAGAGTCTAAACTTTCAGCCATCGGTGCTGATATGCTGTTAGCGGCTACTTTCTTCTCGACACAAAGTCATATCTGACTTTTTCATACGTTCACTTATTTATTTTCACTACAGATGGTATTTGATTGCATATACATGTGTATATTTGTCTCCAGGCTAAATTCGAGTGTGCCCTGAAGCACTCCGGCATCAAGATCGTCACCCCTGACTGGATCACAGATTCTGTTAAAGGTAACATCAGTGCAGGCAGTCTAACGATGCGTTTTATCAAGTTGTTAATTATCAGCTTCTTCAAACTGTATTTTTCTGTTTAACATTGTATGTTCACCTGAATATCTTTGGTTTTGGACTAAATTACTGAGAAACGGGCATTTTCACTATTTTTGTTGCAAAAAGAAAGTGTGTGGCTGTATCAGTTCACTTTCCTTATTCAGCTTTAATAATGTATAAATTCTGCTAGTAATCGTTGTCAGACAGATTATCTGTAATAACTGTCCCTCTGTTCACCATTTAAAGATAAAGCCAGGAAGGAGGAGGCTCTCTATCACCCCAGACTCACATATGTGGAGCCAGAGGAAGAGGAGGAGAGTGAAGCAGAGTCATACAACCGTCATTCTGATGGAAGCTACAGCCCCCAGCGATCCCGGCTGTCCAGCGGTGGCTCATCAGATGAGGAGTCCAGCCCCCGCAGACGACCGGGACCCAAAAGACTGAATTCTGTCTCCCCGACCTCTCCACGCAAACCGGAGCGCCGCAGCGAACGGATGTTTGATGATTCTGACGACGACTCCTCCACAGAGAAGGAGGGCACCAACCTCAACTGGACGCCGGCTGAAGTGGTCACCCCAGCTCCCCCTATTACAACCGGCACAGCCAGGCGTCGGAGCGGGCCGCCCGGCATCAAAGACCCAGTGTCGTCCACAGGCAGTGGGCTGATCAACCTATGTGCGAATGTGCCTCCTGTGCCCGGTAGTGGCGGCGCCGTGCCTGCGGAGGCTCGCTCCGCTGCTGCCGCCATCGCTCACTCCGCACAGCAAGGTAGGTTTTTAAAAGCTTCGTCTGCAGCTCAGGCCTGCGTTAGATTCTCTTGCACACTGTGTGTTGAGAAATGTTAGATGGTATGGGAAGTATTTGTGGAAATAAAAATGAATGCAACACTGTTAAGCCTCTATAATGCATCATGTGCGCAACAGAGAGAGCTTTGGATTTGTGCAGCTTCATATCCTTTGGCAACATAAACAGCTGTAAAGTGAGAGACCTCTGGCTCATATCAATCAGGTTAATTCAGTTTCACTTATGTAACACCAAATCACAACAACAGTCTCCTCAAGGCAGCAATTCATGATTTGGGCCTAAAGATTTGCTTTGTGACGACCTGGTAAAATCAACCTGACAAGTCAGTCAGTGGTGGTTAGAAGCTGGTGGCAGCCGCTATGGA